TTTGAGCACACGCAAATATGAGAAACGTGAAAAACGGAAGTAATTAAAAAGGAAGAGAAGGAAGCTCATTTTGCTGCAAGATATTTAAAAGATTCAAGCTGAAAAGATGTGACAATTGTAAAACACTTATTGACGTCAGATATTAAGCACTTGAGATGAAATTGTTTTCCGAAGAATTGAGATGGAAATCTTAGTGGAAATGTTGTTGACGGTTGTTTACATATTGTGGAACTAAGGATAAATTGTGGTTTATATTAAACTTTTTTATGTAAGGGGAAAACAACATGATGGGAAAAGGTTTTGATGGTAGATCGTAAACTCTACTTTCGAGTGTGTATTTACAAATTCCTGACAAAAAATAATGTATGGCACCAGAGGCGAGACTAGGACGAGATTAGGGCAAGACTAGGATGAGACTAGCACGAGACAAGGATGAGACTAGAATGACACTAAGATGTGACTAAGATGAGACTAGGATGAGACTAGGGCGAGAAGAGGACTAGACTAGGATGAGACTAGGATAAGACTAGCATGAGACTAGAACGGAACAGGGAGAAACCTCAACCAGAGCAATAAATCGTAAATTGTAATTTGATTTTAAACAAATAATTAATCTTGGCTGAAAGACATAATAAAAATGCTGTATAGTGACACAAAACATATATTTACAGTGCCCATAACATAGCTCATTATACAGTCTGCAGACATGTGTGCACATACTCAAATTGTTATTAACATAATCAAATCAACTGAATTTCATTAAATATTTGTGGAACTAGAATTTTTCAAAATTATGCAAATTTAATGTGAAATATTTTATCAAAGTTTCATACAGCATGTACATTCTCAAATATTGAAGAATGAAGCACACGATGGAGCATAATAATAATAATAATAAAACAAAATCTAATTAAGTAAATTTCATTAGTTATGACATTTATTATATAATTAATTTGATAAACAAAAGCATTTTCACCTCCTCGATCATCATAATTCATCATCATAAATAAATAATTAATTAATTTTCTGTTCGTGATTGCGTGCATCTGCTAATCAAAATGACGTTGATTTGAAACGATTCTCAGTTGATTGAGGATTTTATGGAATATATTTTCAAATGGTAAGGTAATGTCCATGCTTTGGACTATGACTGTCTAAGGACGGATTCTCTATCATGCTGTTTTCCTTTTGATTGGATTATATTAAACATCATTGAGCTTTAATGTACAGCAACTATAAATAGTTCCATTCTCTTCCTCACACCAAAAAAATACTTGAATTGCACTATTGAGTTAAAATACTAAAATCGTTGGTTCGAGTAAAAAATATGTGAAATCGATTCCGATGCTCAATATCTCTCGAGGATGTTGAAAGTGCAATAAAGAACTTTGTTATATATTGCTTCATGCTTCTAATTCCTTCATCCTCATTTCTGTAGTTCTATTTTTTAATTTATCTCAAGGGCATCATCCGTTCAATCCCATTCTGCAATCACCATTTCGTATAATTCGCTATATTGGTTTTGGTAGACAAAAAAAAGAGTAAAAAGCATCAGCACCGACCCCGACAAAAGCAAAAATCGTCTATCCTTTAATGGAATGCAATTTTGTTTTATGCTCTTTGATAAGAACAATTTCTTTCAGTTCCTTCTGCTCGCTCACACGTCAAAATGGATTCATCTACACTTTTCTACTTTATCTCAATTCCACAGTCGTATCACATCTTCTATCCGATGATGTAGAAAATCTAAATTGCAGCATAATTGAGATAATTAGCAGAGATATCTTCGGGTGATTTGAAAATGAAACTTTTCTCTTTCATTGCTATTTTTCTTGAGCTTTAAGATGTCTTGTGATGAGTTCTTCGGTGAATGAGGAAGGATATATCATGACATTAATACTTCCTTCAATAATTTTTGTTCTAGTTTGATATCCGCTAGATAGCGTTTTATTTAAAGAAGATAATAGACAAGTGATTAATTAATCAACAATCATGCAGCATCTAAAAGTGAGCATGAATTAAAAATCATCTGTAAAACCAAAATAAGTAATTAAATGAATGCAAGGGTGCAAGGAGATAAAGAAGCAAGGAGGCAAGGGGGCAAGGGGGCAAGGGGGGCAAAGAAGCAAGGGAGCAAGGAGACAAGGAAGTAAGGGGCAAGGGACCAATGGGGTAAGGGGGCAAGGGTGCAAGTGAGCAAGGGGGCAAGGGGGAAAGGGAGCAAGGGGGCAAGGGGCAAAAAGGCAAAGATGCAAGGAGGCAAGGGGGCAAGAGAGCAAGGGGCAAAGAGGCAGGGGAGCAAGGGGGGCAAAGAAGCAAGGGGGTAAAGAGCAAGGGAGCAAGGAGACAAGGAGGCAAGGGGGCAAGAGGCAAGGAGGCAAAGGAGCAAGGGAGCAAGGGGGCAAGACCCTCCTGGCTACGCTCCTGGGTTGAGCTGTTGCATTCAAGATTTAAAATAATAACAAAACACAATAAAGAGCTTCGGGATATTTTTTAAGGATTGGTAAATAATTTTACTAGATTGGATGTTATGAATGAACTTGTGGAGGTTGGCTTTTGATCCTTGGAGACTGTCTGTATACATGGTTCTATTTACAATCACGCAATCATGATAATCTGAAGATTTTGAATTTAATTTGCGCTGTAGATATGCTCTAAGGTAGTGCAGCATTAGGATCAAAATTTAATTTAAAATTTTTAAAAGTTTTTCATTTACAAAATTAAAATCCTCTTGATTTATTGGAGTAAAATTATTAGCCTAAACCCTTGAAGAAATGAAGAGAGATGATAGATTTGAAAGCCATAAGTGCTATCAACTCAAGCTTATTCATGAAAACCCACATTGATTGATTGATTGATTGATTGAGTTTTATTAGCCCTCTCGGGCAGATAAACTTAAAGACTAGTGACAAAATAAACTGGCATATAATAATAATTAAGAAACTTGTTATAATAGCGGTTAAAAAAAAAAATAACAAAAGATAATATTCAATAAGTTTTACACCTTAAAGTGTTTATAATGGTGAGTTGAGAAGTGTACGCACACGTACAATTGGTAAGTAACTGCAAGTTCCAATTTTAAAGTTTAATTAATTGATTGTGAAAACATTTTTTTAAAAAAAAACAAAAATATTAATAACGTCTAATAAAATTTTTAAATTTCGCATCTCAAGGACATTAGCTATTTAAAAATAAATTCATAAGTTCTACATTTCTTTGCAAGTCAATGAAAAAATAATGATAAATTCAAACCCACATTAAAGAGCTACAAACCTTAATCAAACTAGTAAAAAGATCGCCAGTACTTTGGATCTGGGCGACTTCAGCGTATTTTCCTCTTACTGATCAGTAAACTTAGTTGTAACTCAAAATCGTTTGAGGGCCTTAATTTTTCGTACCAGATCTTTAATAGTTCGTTCCAGATTTTTATTTTAAAGATCTGGTAGCATTTAAAACATGTCCCGTATCAAAAACATAAATTCAGTAGCTCTACAGTCATAGTCAACCCCTAAAACAAAGATCCAGTAGCTTTACATTCACATCCATCATTAAAAATAAAGAACTAGTAACTCTAATGTCATATCCAACACCAAAAACTAGGATCCAGTAACTCAAAACTCATATCCAACACCATCAACAAAGATCCCATAACTTCAATGTCATGTCTAACACCAAAAACAAAGATCCAGTAACTCTAATGTCATATCCAACACCAATAACAAAGATACAGTAACTCTAGAGTCATATCCAATCCCAAAAACTAAGATCCAGTAACTCAAAACTCATTTCCAATCCCAAAAACTAAGATCCAGTAACTCTTAACTCATATTCAACACCATCAACAAAGATCCAGTAACTCTAATGTCATATCCAACACCTATAACTAAGATCCAGTAACTCAAAACTCATATCCAACACCATCAACAAAGATCCCGTAACTTCAATGTCATGTCTAACACCAAAAACAAAGATCCAGTAACTCTAATGTCATATCCAACACCAATAACAAAGATACAGTAACTCTAGAGTCATATCCAATCCCAAAAACTAAGATCCAGTAACTCAAAACTCATTTCCAATCCCAAAAACTAAGATCCAGTAACTTAAAACTCATATCCAACACCATTAACAAAGATCCAGTTACTCTAATGTCATATCCAACACCAAAAACAAAGATCCAGTAGCTCTTTAGTCATATCCAACACCAAAAACAAAGATCCAGTAACTCTAATGTCATATCCAACACCAATAACAAAGATACAGTAACTCTAAAGTCATATCCAATCCCAAAAACGAAGATCCAGAAACTCAAAAACTAAAATCCAGTTACGTTACATGAAGCAACGTTCAAAATTTTAACGGCTATTTTGAAATTTGAAATTGTTTTATCAAACTCGTATGTTATGCAAAAGTCGGCTAAGTCGTTGCAAAAAACATATAAAAGTTAATTTAATTAAGTTTTGGTAAGAAGTTATGAAACATAAAGCGGATTCGGTTTGCCTACAATATGGCAAGGATTGAATGCAAAAAATCCGAAGGCTCTATATGCTTTCATTGCTGAGATCTCACGGTACCAGCCAGCCAGCCAGCCAGCCAGCCAAAGTGAAGATAAAAGCGTATTGTTCCTTAGGAAAATACGCTAAAAACCATATATTCAAAAATCAAACAAAAATAAATGATACAATCATAAATTCAAATAAAATATTTATCTTTCGAATTTTCATTCATCAAAAATTGTAAAAATAAATTTCGTTGAATCAAGTTACGTCTACATTTATGATCTTTTTGCCATTTTATCATATTTCGTCATTCTGAAATTTCACCCGCGGCACACATTCATCTTTATCGTTTGACTTCTTTTTTGTGTGCTGTATTTATATAGACACAAAAGATGGAATTGGATGTATAGCTATAGATTGTTATATTCTTGACATTTCCTCTAGCTATGAATGCATCAATTTGCAAGATTAAAAGCTGTTGAAGTAAAAAAGTCAATAAAAGATTATTTTTATTTCTATAGTCATTTGTAGGATGTATTTAGGGGTGCTTATGATCCGAAAAAATCACAACAGCCCCCAAGCAATACCCCCTATCCAGACTGTAAGACACAAACTTTATTTAATTCCATAAAAATTAAAATTAATTAATCCATCACCAAAATAATATAGATGCACAATTTATGTCAAACATCCAACATAACTGCACTAGATTAACGGCATGTTTCACTAAAGTGGATTATCCTCGATTTCGGATTATCCACTTCAGTTTTTTGGAAATATCTCCAGACGATTACGGTTATTAAGAGATCTAATGGGTGATCTAGCAAGAGTACTTTGCTACTTAAATTAACATATACTTAGAATATTTATATCTTCATTCGTTTGAGAATTATAGCAAAAATCGAAGATAATCTACTAGATTTGGGTAGAAAATTGAATAATTGATAGTTCTTAATGAAAAGTAAAAGTTTAAAGTATACAGAAATTTCAGACATAGTTCACTCTATTATAATCCAAAATTAGAAATACCACACCTCCCATAAACTTTAAGATATTTACAAAAAACTGAAGTGGATAATCCGAAATCGAGGATAATCCACTTTAGTGAAACCGGCCGTAAGAGCTTATACGGAAATTATTCTTCAACTTCTGCCAACATTCATAATATTGTTGATCCAATTTGTTGCATGTCTCTTGTCCCCATTTTGTTGTTGCCATACTCAATGACGATTCAAACATGAACGATTGTGTTCCCTCAGCAATTCTCTGCGGTTCCAATTTTGCATTTGATGCTTGATCAAAACAATCGTAGTCTGGACCATGTGGAGTCATAATAGAATGCAATGTAGCACCACCTGGGAAAAATCCGCCTTCTTTTGCTTCATATCTTCCTTGAATGAGACCCATAAATTCACTCATGCAATTACGGTGATAATATGGTGGACGGAATGTGTTCTCTTGTACTGACCAACGTGGTGGGAAAATTACAAAATCACAGATTGCTGTTCCTGGACGAAGACTTGGGCATGTTAAGACGGTGAAGATGCTTGGGTCCTGAAATGTTAAAATTCATTAGAAATATTTTATTATGCTGATGATCCCCGAGCAGTAATTATAATGTCCTGCTCGGGTTGTCAATAACTTACACAATGATCAAAGCTGACCGAATTAATGACCATAAAGTTAGCAAGATTGTATTTATATGGGACATAATTACCATGCCATGCTACAACATCAAAGCTCGAATGATTTTGCGACGCAGAAAATAAAGATCCTTGAAATTTAGAGATTACTTGGAAGTTCTCAACATCACGATCCTCAAACCATGCCGTTGGAGTAAGAAAATCACGTGGAAAGGCTAATCCATTAGCTCTATAAAGATACATAAATAATAATTTATTTTTTGCCATCACATTGCAACGCTTTAATCTTACCCAATTGGTCCCAAATCAGGAATCTTAAAATGACCGTTATAAACCTCACAGATGTATCCACGTGTCGGTCCCGTAACGTTGACAGCAAATCTCATACCTTGTTGAATGACACAAATCTCATTTGGTTCGACATAAATTCTACCGAACTCAGTTACAATGTCAAGTGCTCCTTCCTGTGGCACAATCAACAAATCCCCATCACTATTGTAAAATGCACGATTTTCCATTGAGCTGTTGCACATGTAAATATGGATGGCAATTCCATGACGACTCTTTGCATCACCAGCACCGCAAACTGTATGTAAGCCATCAACAAAATCAATTTTCTCGCCCGGAATGTCAAATGGATTCCACCGAAGTTGATTTGGATTTGGGGGAACTTCATCCCAATTGTTGCTCAAAAATTTGGCACCGTTGTAAGGTTGGAATGGCTTATGAACAGCAGATGGACGAATGCGGTAGAACCATGTTCGGAAATTTTCAATTCTTGGGGCTGTAAATGCTGCTCCATTCAATTGTTCAGCATATAAACCATAAGCACATTTTTGAGGTGTGTTTTGGCCTTTTGGAAGTGCATCTGGATAGTTGGGATGTTCTGATACAAATTCAGAGCCGAAACCTGGAAGATACTGAGGATAGATGGGTTAAATGTATGTTATGACTTCTTGCGGATGTCTCTGAAGCTATCTAAGCTCCACAGCTATTTTTATAAGATTTAATCTCAATAAACTACTGAATATCATCAAACTATGCAGCATTTAGTAAACTTAACAACAAAATGCACAACTTGTTTACCTCAAAAATTCCTCAATCAAGCCTGCTGTTTAGTCATATGGACGAAAACATTTTTTTGCATTTAAATTAATTTATTCAAAACTAGTTTTATAAGATTCTCAAACTAGCTTCGCTTATATAGTCAAGATTTTGTAAACAATTCGTTCTTTATGCCGGTTTGAAAAGAAAAAGTATATAAAGAACTGGAATTATTTGCATATCTCGTGGAGATACTTTATGTATTAGGTTGTTTTTGGTAGCGGCGCTGTGACATTTTCAAGGTTTTGATATAAAAATTTCACTGATAAAAGAATTCTTGTTTTGGTTGTGAGAGAATAAAGTTGAGAGTCATCAGCAAATGATGATGAGCTGATGTGCATCTAGAAACTTTTTTTGAGTCAATATCCATATTAAGGAGGGAAAGTTCCACATCGAGAAAAGTTTTCAGCATAATCCTCGACCCTGACGACCTTCCAGGATAGAATTATTGAATTTTAATGCCAGTATTTGACACATTTTGGAAGCTTTTATGACATTTTTGCTGATAATCCTGAATTTTTGCTTTCAAATGCTCTAATATTATTAAAGAACATGAAAATACGGAATCTTATAAATTGATAAATGAATATATTACATAACCACCTCTCTGATTACCACAAAGATTAAAAACTTTGAAATAATGTCAAATCACATCTAATAAGTTTGCTAATTAGAGCAAAAGAAGATTAAATCACAAGATTCTCAATTGTTCTGTTTCACGACCCACAAGTCTATATAAAATCCAATCAAATTGCTAATCCAATAAGTCAAGCTTATTACAACTTACTTTATATTCTGGCATATCTCACGAAACTTTATAATTTGTTAATCACAATCTAGAACAGCAAATGATGATAAGATAAGCACAATTTAATTAGTCACAAAAATATTATAAGACTCTGATGTTACAAACGATACTGACTGTTGACGATGAAATGAGGCAAACATTTAAGTCTGAAGGAATTTATTTAGATTTTTTTTTGTTGAGCTTCCAGTTGAACAAGTTTTCCCAGCTTTTTTAGAATTTTTAATTTCTTTATTTTTCTGATTTTTGCTCTGAGTATTTTGTTTGGAACTAAGAAAACGACGATGTTTGTTAGAACAGTGCATAAAACTGCTATAATGAAAATATTATTCATTTACAATTTTGTTATTGTTTATTAAGTGAGTCGTAATGGCAAGGTGGAGGAATGTTTAAGTGCATTGTGACCTAATATTCGTAATACCGACCTAGCGATCATAGGTTCGAGACTCGACAGGAAAAAAAAAACTTTAAATTGTCCTTTTGAACTATATTAACTTTGAAAGGTAGCTCACAGCGTCTCTTTGTAAGCTACAGTGAGTAATGTCGTCAAACGAGTGATTTGAAACTACTGAAAAGCTGTAGGTCTGTTTTGGGTACAGTGACTGGTCAATCTCAACTCAATCATTATCCAAGTTGTTGATTTTCTAGATCCCAAACTGATTTTTCTTCTTCGGTGACCGAACAGATCAATTGTGGTCCATGGCTTCTCTTAGATGGCACCTGAAGCTGGCTCTATCGCTGGCTACCGTTTGCCAATTGTCAATACCAAATTCAATACTGTCTCTGCCAAAAACATCTTTCCTGATACGAACAATTCATGTTCGACAGACTTATCGACGGTCTAGGGGAGTTATAATACGCACGTTCGAGAAGTGTAAATTTGAAAGAAACAGTTACAATTTCAGTGATTTTATTAGAGTTCTTGATAGTTTTGAAAACAGATTCCCTAGCGAGACTAACTAGCAAATTGCTAGTCTTTCTATTTTACTACTTGCAATTTACTAGTAATTATTAAAACAACTTACTATTAGTAAATTACACTTACTATTTAATAGCAAATTACTAGCAAATTTCCTTGAGAAATGTTTGATCAAATCTTCTTAAGTTCGAATCCTACGAAAAATCATCAAAAAAAGAAATTTTTGCATCATAAAAAAGTTTGTTCTAAATTTGGCATTTGCCATATACTTCACAAGAGCGCGCAGAAATCACCTTTATAAGCTCGATCCAAATTTGTATGAGACATTCAATTTAATTATTTATCTTCCTCAGGTTTGCGTGCGAGTCATAAGCGTTCATCAGTGTTTGACTTAATTAAATTAAGTCTTTTACTTTTTTTCGTAGTATTAGTGTACTTTAATTAATTAAATTAAGAACACACTAATACTTTTACAATAATTTACACAAATAAAAAAATCAAAAAAACACGTGGAAATCAACGGTTATATTCATTTAAATTTTTTACAAATTTGCTAGTAAATTACTAGTTAAATTGTAAGCGAATTGACTAGTCAATTAGCAAGTGAAAATGCGGGTCTTTGGCGATGATTTGAACTTGGATTTTGACTAGTAAATAGCAAGTAGCAAATGGAAAGTTATCCAGTAAATTACTAGGAAATTACTAGTAAATTTCTGCTAGGGATTTAGCTATATTATGCTTATTATCAAATGATAACATAATATTTTCATCTGAATTTCATGAAAAAATTGCTTAATTTAAGTTTTTATTTTTTTGTAATTTTCTAAAATTTCGAACTGCAGGGTATGAAACTTCGAATTTTGTATGACAGACAGTCAAATAAGACATTTTCACAAGTTTTCTTGGAAAGTATAACGGTCGAAACTCTTGAATTGTTCGTATCAGCATCTTTCCAAGAGTTCTTAGGATGTCCGCGTGATCTTTTAACAAAACTGATTAACTTTTAGATTTGTTGATTGTATTGAATATACTGGTTTGGGCTAAAATTGTTAAAGAATCCTTCAAAAATTAATCTGTTGTAATAAAAAGCATCCTCGATTGTTCTAAAATATAAGATTTTGTTCCTTGAATTAAAAGTACTTTTCGCATACGCTATCATTGAAATTACTTGATTGCCACATTTTAATGTTTTATTTATGAGTATTTGCACCACAATACATACACAACTTGACTTATGATTTATAAAATATATACAAACTTTATGATTTTTTTATCGCTATAATAAATCACATATTTTCGAGGACAAATCATAAAATCATAAAAAATCGTCATCAGATTTCATAATAATCATGAGTTTTAAAATCATAAAATTATGATTGGCTGTTTCGAGAGGCTCGTGATGTCTTTGCATTTTATAAACAATATTAAATTCTCGTTTTGCAGCTTTAATCTTTGTGTACGAGCAGTTTAAATTTTTTTCTCTCGAAAATAAAATAAAATTGAGATTTTTGGAGCAAAAAAATGAGAAATTGAGAATAATCTTTTTTTCAAATTTTAAGAACAGATAATACAACAACTAATTGCTTAAAATTAAACAATAATTTAAATAGTTTGGATTTTTTTAAATTTGTAGATGCAAGATTTTCACGAAACAGATGTCCATGAAATTGATTTAAGTTTTGAGAATTAATTGTCAATAGAAGAAAAAATTAAAAATAAATTTTAATCTATAACGAGGTGACTTTATCAGTTTAGTGAAAAAAATAAAAAATTGATAAAATATCTTACTTTTTAGTATTCTTTTAACCTGAACATTATTTAAGAAGTCAATATCCATTTAGTTAAAGTGAACGAAATGATTGAAGGAAATGACAAAATGAGTTTTTGACGTTTTCGAATTAAAATCCTGATGAAAAAAAAATAATTGAAAAATTAAGGTTAAAAAAATATTCACTGCTCACTTCCAGCAAAAGAATTTATTTAAGAATATTCGCTTTGAAGTTGAAGACAATGCAATTTAGCTGGTACAGAATCTACTGAACCACATCTTTTAGTGCCTGAAGTTAAAAGTGGAATCGGAATTATTCGGAAACTCTGCACATTCCAAAGACACGAGTACGTCTTGAGACAGGATGTATCCTGCTATGGAATTAGTCACAATTCATGTGCGTAATGAAGCCATCCAAATGACAACTTATCCAAGTATTTCTAGCAAAGAAGACCACATTTTATGACAAAAACGGTACAATAGATTCTATCATCGATCAGGATCGCAGTGCCTTCAGCTCGTCGCAACGTGGAGTAACACATCGTTTGGCTGTAACTCTCTTACATTATTATTATTTTTATATGTATGACAAAGTTCTCAAAATACCACTCGAGTGGACTCGAATTGAACTTCCATATTAAAATAGTGAAATGAAAAAAAGAGCTTCTAAAACTTGACTTGGCTTAATATTGAAATAAGGACCTTCGATACGTTAAAGTAACGCTTTAGCAATTAAGCCATTGTTAAAGTTTCAAAATAGATTGAACTAAGTAAGATCAGAATCAATGAAAAATAAAATTGGTTACCAATCTGCAGTTATACATCGTTAATTAAGCTTACGCTGGTTTTCCTTTTTGATCAAGATGTTAAGATTCAATCGAGAGTTGTATAATTTATTTTTGACTTTATTTTTAGACACTTCAAAATCACTGATTTGAATTATCCAGTATAAGCTGTTCACTTATTTCGTGAAGCGAGAAAACGACTTTTAATACCCACAATTCCTATCACGATATTTGTATGGAGTAAAATTTCTTTTGTTTGAAGCTTCACGACGATTTAAGCCTTAAAAAGATAGCCCTCAGACACTATAAGCTTAAATAGTGGAGCTATCCCGAATAGCACAAGTTAGATGACATGACTTTGACATGATGAGCTTCGATTATAATCCAGCACCATGCTGGTGTCACATCGGCTTGATGTCATCGATCGATTAAGAAGCAAAAGTGTCATGATAACTCAGTTGGCAAGGAACAGTCCACAAAAGTTGTTGTTGAATTTGAACTCCCGGATTTAAATTCCACCATCAGCCTAGTGATTTTTCAGAAGTTTAGATTTCGGCTACTTAGGTGCAGCAGTTTAATACGTAAAACTAAGAATTATGCGATGTGAGATGTAGGAACGGGTTAAGAGTTATGTAGATAGAATGAGAAAGATACGACAGCCGTAAATTCACTATAAAGTGCTTTTACTAGAACGTATCTGGAGACATTGTGACCATTACTGAAAATTGGAACGAGAGCCGACATGAACATTAGTTCTAAGATCTAAAGACAGTTTTTAATTGGCTGCTGGAAACACAACTGCTTAGTGAAGATTATGCGCTATACACTAAGCTTGCGTACATAATATAGATTTAAGAATATACGGCCTGTTTCACTAAAATGGATTATCTTCGATTTCAGATTATCCACTTCAGTTTTTTGGAAATATCTCCAGACGCTTAAGGTTATTAAGAGATCTAATGTGTGATCTAGTCCCTAGCAGAAATTTACTAGTAATTTCCTAGTAATTCACTTGATAACTTTCCATTTGCTACTTGCTATTTACTAGTCAAAATCCAAGTTCAAATCATCGCCAAAGACCCGCATTTTCACTTGGTAATTGACTAGTCGATTCGCTTACAATTTAACTAGTAATTTACTAGCAAATTTTTAAAAAATTTAAATGAATATAACCGTTGATTTCCACGTGTTTTTTTTTTGATTTTTCTTATTTGTGTAAATTTTTGTAAAAGTATTAGTGTGTACTTAGTTTAAGTTAATTAAAGTACACTAACACTATGATAAAAAAACAAAAGACTTAATTTAATTAAGTCGAACACTGATGAACGGCCATGACTCGCACGCAAACCTGAGGAAGATAAATAATTAATTGAAAGTCACATACACATTTGGATCGACCTTATAAAGGTGATTTCTGCGCGCTCTTGTGAAGTATATGCCAAATGCCAAATTTAGAACAAAATTTTATTTGACGCAAAAAATTCTTTTTTTGATGATTTTTCGTAGGATTCGAACTTAAGAAGATTTGATCAAACATTTTACATGGTAATTTGCTAGTAATTTGCTAGTGAATAGCGAGTGTAATTTTCTAATAGTAAGTTGTTTTAAAAATTACTAGTAAATTGCAAGTAGTAAAATAGAAAGACTAGCAATTTGCTAGTTAGTCTTGCTAGGGAGTTAGAGTACTTTTCTGTTTAAATTAACATATACTTAGAATTTTCATATCTTCATTCGTTTGAGAATTATAGCAAAAATCGAAAGTTATCTATTAGATTTGGCTAGAAAATTGAATAATTGATAGTTCTTAACGAAAAGTAAAAGTTTAAAAGGTACAGAAATTTCATGCATAGTTCACTCTATTATAATCCAAAATTAGAAATACCGCACCTGCCATAAAGTTTAAGATATTTACAAAAAACTGAAGTGGATAATCCGAAATCGAAGATAATCCACTTTAGTGAAACAGGCCGAAAATTCTAGCGCTTAAAGGTATAAGGTTTAAAGATAACACTGTTGTGCAATTTAGCATGAATAAAAAGCCTGCAATAAATTGAGTTGAATTGAACGGGTATTGTTTGGCTATCGAGTTATCTTTTTGTATATTTCATATTGCTTCAGAAGAGCTGTCCCTCTAAGTCATTTACGATCTATGGCAAATTTTTTTGGTTTTCATAAAAAAACCTGGATCCGAAAAAACCAACCTTTACTCCTTGATGAAGTTGATGAAATTTTGTATGGAATCGAATCAACTCAGATTCGACTGCACAAGCACGGAGCCAGGGAGGGGGATTTGGGGGGTTAATCCCCCAACGTAAACATAAATTCCACCATACAAATCGATGAAAATCTCAAGTCGACATCGAGCTCTGTGCACAACAAATATTTTTCAATCAAATTATAATTAAATCACACTTATTGATTACAAACTAGTTTTTATTCTAACAAATTAAATTACATATTTCTTGAGTGAAGTTTAAAATTAAAATAATTATTTCTTCCATGATTTGTATAAATATCAATTGGCTTTGAACAATTCCTTATCACGTTGCATTTCCATCTAGCAAAATGAAACAAATAAATTTAATTTTTTGAGATAAAAATTAATTTTTTTTAAATTACCGCATGTTTTCATGTACAGATGCTGAAGGATTTTGGTCTTTAGGATTGTTAATATAATCTCGATAATGTCCAGGAGTATTAAATTTTTCAAAATCCACCAACTTAGCTTCTAATTTGTGCTCTCCATAAGGATCTCGATTAGGACATTTTTGTTTAGAATGTGCTTGAGGATATTCTTGCTGATTATTCCAATAATAACACCAATCGTATGGCTCACGTGGATCTTTAGAAGTCATTTAACTTTTAAAATAGTCAACTTCTTTCTTATTTTGCGACATACACCAACTTGTTTTCGTTAATGAATGCATCGCACCTCTCATCGTATATTTTGTATTTTCAAATAATGAGGAAAAAATTCAGAGCTCAGATAAGTTATCAAATTTGCATGGATTCATAGGGCTATGAGGTCAAAAGAATTTAAAAAGAAAAAAAGTGAGTATTTGTAACACGTAAATCTCAAAGGAACAAACCTTTTGATCTGCAGGTTTTTATTTGATTCGAGTGGGAATTTTTTTTGAACATCTGGAGAGATAGTTTTAAAGTATAATAAGAATGTTTGGGCTACTTACTCCGCTGTAGATCATAATTGTGATTCATAACCTTTGAGGTTGTTCACTTATTTTAGACTTCCACCCGCCCCCCTTTGAATTGTATAAAAAAAATTCTTTTCATTTGAGCCTCAACAAAATCTTTGACCCCTTCTCCCTAAACGCATTACGTAATAAGTGAATGGCCCCTTTCGAATAGCAAAAAACGGTTAATCGAATAGAGAACCGGTGCTTAGCCGTCATAGATCTGGCATGGTGCAGGCTTCGATTTAAATCCAGCACGATGCCAGAGTCTCACCGAGACCCATTAGGGTTTTCAGGAACTTCAGGCTAGAAGTCGAATCACTTACACCAGAAAGGAGGGGGGGGGGGGGGGGGGGGGGAGGAATCAAAGAGTGAACTATTGCACAAATCGCTCCCAGTAACGCCTCTGACTCATAAACTCTGTACGTCACTATAACTCAACTATAGCCCAAAATGCACCTAGCCATAAAAATGTTTGTTCATCTAAGGGGCCGTTTACTAATTACGTAACGCAAAAACCGTTTCCTCACTTTATTACAAATTTGTATGTAAAGCAAAGTCCTTAGTCTGAAACATCAAAAAATAAACCTCCTCCCGCTAAAACCGTTACGTAATTAAAAAATGTCTCCCAAAGGACTATTTATAAATGACGTCAATCAAAAAATCAGATTTTTTCCCTCCCCCCCTCCAAATCTTGGACATCACAAATAAACCAAAAACATAGATACTTTTCGTGTCAAAGACCTCAAAGCACAAACAAATGATCAAAAAAGAACAGCAAGCTTTACAGACGTCATCTATGAACGTTTGTATTAAAGATGACACTTTCTGACCCGTACCTTACAATTTAAGAAAATTCACATCGAATCTTGCATCAAATAGAAACAAATCATTAAAAAACAAGCAAACAAAGTAAGGGAATTTAATCGACTGGAAACTTGATTATTTTTCAAGCTCAATGAAAAATTTTTGAGTGTTTTTTTTTAAATATTTCGAATCATTTTCAATGAGAATGTTATCCCTATTTTAATAAGTCAATCAAAACTTCGCAATTCTCATTTATTGTTTACTAGTTATTTAGAGATCAAATCTAAGACTGACAATATTTACACATTTTCTTGATGACTGTCGGCTTTTTACTTAATAAGTTTATTGTACATTAAACTATTTTCTGATTAAACGACAAGTTCTTGTTCATCAAGCATCGAAGAATAAATATTGATCATTTTTGATGGTGAGCTAGAAAATGCGCTTTATACTTTTCAAGTTTAACCATGTCAACGTGTGTTTTAAAATGCACATATGGCTTTTTACTATCAGTTGGTTTGGGGCCATTCACTTATTACGTAACGCTTTTAGGGGGGGGGGGTCTAAGATTTTGTTACGGTTCAAACAAGGAAATTTTTTTTTCATACAAATTTTGTTACGAGGGGGGGGGGTCTAAAAAGTCATTTTTTCGCGTTACGTAATAAGTGAACAGCCCCTTTGTGAATTATCTTTTTTTTTTGTTTCAAAAGTTAAAACGTTCATTAAAATTGTGAACATTAAAAAATGATAATGCCTTTTAATAATGGACTAGGTCAAATTTGAAGGAGAGAGGGTTTGATTGATCATTATAAGTACGTCAACACTATGGCTTATCTTCACTGTAAGTTCTTTTTATTCGTTCATTAATAGATTAAAATACACAATTTACTACTCACTTGATTAATCATATGGATGTGTGATTCCACAAGTTTAGAAACATCTCTAGGAAGAATTTTGTTATTTTTTGATGATTGACGTTTGTTTTGGCGGGAAAATTTTGTTAAAAAGCTACGACACAAGTTCACCTATGACGTCCGATATTAAAGGTCATTTATCAATAAAGAACAATGGAATTCCAGGAATTTTCTTGCTGACCTCCCCCCCCCCCCCCCCTGCACGTCATTAAAGAATTCTATAAAAATCTATGTTCTTTGTTAATTTTGATATAAATTGTTATCTGATAAGACAATCCTGTTGCAGCTTAGGGCTCGTTCACTTATTACGTAACGCAAAAAAACGAGTTTTTAGACCCCCCCCTCCCCCCCTGTAACAAAGCGTAACAAAATCTTAGACCCCCCCTCCCCCCTAGTGCGTTACGTAATAAGTGAACGAACCCTTACTTGCTATTCTGTTTTTGTTTAAAGAATGTTTTTCAATCATTAACTTCCAGGCGCGTAACCGGGGGGGGGGGGGGATTTAGGGGACAAATTTGCTAAGAGATTTATGAAAAAAATCGAAAAAATTATAAAAATCTCCCCCCTCCCCCCTTCCCTCTGAATTTTCCATATAAATTTTTGTTCCCCCCTTTTCAAATTCCTGGCTACGCCCCTGTTAACTTCGATTTAAACAAAGCTGATCTTTTAATCCAGAGCATTTTAATTCGATGCTGACTGTTGATGATGAATTGAAATAAATGTTTAAATCTAAAAGATTGTTTTAAAATTTTTGTTAAATTACTTTTTGTTGATTGAATGGATCGTCTTATTTTTGAGCTATTAAAGAACAGATCAGTACATGTGTCCTTGATAATTTGATAGCTGATAATGATAGTTTGTATTTATTTGTCTTTGTAGCTACTTGAAAAGAGGTAAAGTAAAAAATAATCAGACTTCCTCAAAAAAAAAAAACAAATTTTTGTATTTACTTCTTAATCAATTCCGAGCAACAACTATACCCAACTGACACAAGTCGGTTAATCGATCAAACCGGTGTGACTCTGTTATGGTGCTGGATTTAAATCAAAGCCAGATGCATGTCAGCTTGGCATCAGATTTGTATTCGATTAACCGCCTTGTTCTAGTCATGATAGTGAAATCGAGAATCACTACTAAAATAACTATGCTCAAATATGTGAAGAGTTTATTTTTACGCTACGCTAGATGTTAGAACCTTGACCATCATACCCCTCTCCTCTCAAATCACAAATGAGACAACCATATGGTATGCACTTAAAAATTATTAAAATATATTCATTAATTTATAATCATAAATTGATAAGAACGTTGTTTCAACTGGATTTAATATTCTAAGGTCAAACTCATGGAGGTATGGTCAAATAATTGAATTATATTTTATAAACATTCATTTTTCTTATCATTAGCTTGCAATATGTTCAGTTGTTATGTTATTAAATAATCTGAGAGAGATTATTGTGAATCATTTGGAGGTCTTTAATCCGGAACATTAAATTTTATTTTTTGTCATTGTTATTTATTCGACGTTTGGAATCGTTAACTTAAAAATAATTAGTTTAATGAAATTCGATAAAAAAAATCTTTTTTTATTCAGATTCAGTCATGAACTAGGTCCAGGCGCGTAGCCAAGGTGGGTATTTAAGTGACAAATCCCTCTATGGTAAGAAAAATTTCTTCATTTTTGCTAGGATTTGCATGAACTCCCCTAAACTTTTCATATTAAATTGTTTTTGCCCCCTCCTCTTTAAATTCCTGACTATGCCCTTGAAAACGGCGATTCGCAGCTAATGAAAGTTCAACGAGTGAGGATGCGCTAAACTACTCCACTCAAACCTAGACCAACAGTTTAAAGTTGAATCTGAACCACTCCTTTGATGACATTTCTGCCTGAATTCTGCAAGGAAGGCTGCGAGCTTCATTTCCAGTGCATATGGTTCGAAAAAGAACAATCGAAAAATTTCTCATGCCGAGTCTCGAACCCATGATCGCTGTGTCAGCGTTGCAAAAACTAGGTACTGAAGTACTAAACTATTCCGCCACTGAGCCACTACAACTTTTAATCCGATACATTGCGTCTAATTAGGTATATTAAAGCTAGCTACCCAGCCATTCAATGTCCCAAAGAGCTATAAAATCAATAAAAAAAACCTAATCATCCAGCAAGATACCCAGCCTTACAAGGAATGCTTTACGTTGTTGTAAAACCTTTAAAAAAACCTCATATAGAAAAAAGAAGCCTCTGTAAGTGGATGAAGCTATAATATATGCAAATTTACGTATTTCCAAAAAGAAAAGCTTCAAACTTTTCAATTCTTCTTTTTCTATTATATGAATAAGCACAATTTATATACACATACAGAAAAAGAACTTCTCATTCCATCCCATAATAATCATTATTATACATTCATGTTCATACATTAAATGAATTTTATAATAAGTAATAATAATAAATGTAAAAGTTTTACATGATGAAAAATTTCCATCAATTCAGGCACACGAAGTAGTTTTGAATATAAAATGATGTAGTTTGGATGAGAAGGCTTTTCAAACCATCCTTCTCTTCTTATATTTTGTGTATTTTACATCATGTTAATTTTTTAAAACTTTCATTTAATCAATTCTTGCGTAAAAGAGTATTAAGCTCTTCCGTTTGTCCGCTTTTATGCTTTATAAATTATTTAATCTATTTTATCATGATGATACACGTGTTTGAGGAGTGTAGGATGAATTGTTGTGCTTGAATGAATTTCTGAAAATTGTTTTATGGAGCTTGATCTACTCAGCATTGGGAGAGCAAGAGATTTTGTCAACTGTGGTTTGATTTCTAGGTTTACCCGCGAACAGAACTGAAATTCTATGTGCAAAAATATGGGATTTAAATCAAATTAATCTAAGACTATGGTATGGTGCCTAGGGTAACCCCAGAAACCAGGCCTTGAGCCTACTATACAAAATAGCGCCCGACCCAAAGGATTGTTGGGACCGTCTTCTTACTCTGTCTAGTCAGATCAAAGTGGATGGCCCAAAATTGTCAAATCTGGTCTGTAAGGTCTCTTTTTAAACAAAATCAACCCCCCCCCCCCCCCCCCCTCCTTCTGCATGTTTTTTTTTTTGTCAATCAATATAAATCAACCTCCAACAAAAAGTATCTAGTTACGGCCAAGTTAAGGCACTGGTGTCCTACTGATTGCTTAGGGGCCGTTCACTTATGACATCCGGGGGGGGGGGGGGGGGTTGGTCAGCAAGAAAAGAACTATAGAAACTGGAAATACATTGTATTTTTTTGAAAAATGACCGTTAGTTTTAAACGTCTTAAGTGAACATAAGTGAACGACCCCTTAGGCTGTCGGGCAATTCTTATTTTTTTAATGCGCCTTTTCAACCTTCATACACCGATAGCTTACTTTTCCTACAGAAAAATTACATTGTGTATGAAAAGTCTTAACAGAGAAAAATCTTATTTTACATCACCGCGATTCATAATAGAACAATACATATAGTTGATGAAAAAAAAAGAAATGAGCATGACTAAAGGCAGAAAAGAGAAACTTTTTCATTTTCCAACTCATCATCGTAAATGAATAATTAAAATGTGATTTTGTTGTTTACAAACTGCATATTATTCATTAACGTACATACACGCTATGCAATTAAAACTTTATCGTTGGCATTACAATTGAATTATGGAAGTATATTTTGTAATTTGTCAAGTTCCACATTTCAAAACAATAATCGAATATGAAATATGAGTGTTGTGCCTTAATAATTTTTTTAAAATTTATTGCGTCAAAGTTTTTGCATGAAAATATTCCAATTTTCTACACTTTACGGCTTCTTGTGTATGTGCATAATGTAGCACCATTGGCAATAATTCAAATTACATTCATTTGACTTCTTTAAAGAACATTTCTCTCGCTTGCTTCCTCTAACTCTATTTATAAATGTATATTTTCCATTCAAGCACTTTGCTAGATTAAATTTCATAGTTATACAACAAGTTAGCAAGCAGCAGGCAAGTAGAGCGAAAAATTATTTTTTTTTATCTCTTGTGTGAACTGTTAGGTATGAAAAGTTTTAAGGAAATGAATTTATGCATGAGATGTAATGTTTTTGCATTTATTGAAGGAAGAAAAATTATTTTTTGATATTAAGGAGGTATTGATGGTGATATATAAGAAGTAGTCATGGATTTTGGGGGGAATCAACAATTGGCAGACGGTAGCCAGCGATAGAGCTGGTTTTAAGGGATGACTAAGAAGGTCAGGGATCACAATTGATCTGTACTACCAGCGAAGTAAGTAAGTAAGTAGTCATGGGATTTTAAGTTTGATGAAGCAACCCCGAATGGCACAAGTCGGTAAATCGATCAGAAATTCGGTATTAAAACAATGTGACTCCAGAGTCATGTCAGCTTAGCTCAGTTTTTTTATTCGATTAACCAATTTGTGCTATTCACAAAAGTTGTCAGAGCTTTATTAAAAAGTTAATCGAGGTGTGGTCTAGCCTATTAAGGAGCGCTTATTCAATCTCGAAATGGGTTCTAACCTGGACTTAAAGCTCTATTCCAGTGTTGTCCAAACTTTTTGGGCCACGGCACACTATTAAGGGTAAGCCATGATCAAAGCCTCTGTGGCTCGTGTGATTTTTAAAAATTTTCTACGGCAAACTATTGTACCGCGGCACACAGTTTGGACAACACTGTTCTAGTTCATCCCTAACCGCAAAAAAGGCTTTGTCACGACACCATCAGATCACTTTTATGCCTTTCTACTAGCACGGCAATTTAGCTATGATCTAATGGCTTCATAGTGTCGCTCAATGAAAGGATGGTTAAGAGTCCGCCTTAAAAATGACACAGCATTCATGCAGAACTTTCACCATAAGTTGTCATAAGTATTATAAATGTGATTTGCATGCAGTACGAACAGACTCATTCTCTACCTTGTTCACATCTTCTATTTTCAATCAGCTTATTCAAATATAAGTGTATTGCATGCTAGGAACTCAAGTCATACTACAAATTTTGTAATTACATTGTAAATAATATTTTGTAGAATGTAATTTACCAAAATTCATTATAAGCAGAAAAATGCAATTTTATAAATTACTAAATATGCATCCTCAAAATATGTACAGAAGAGCATAAATAAATGTGGTTTTGCATCGGATAATTCCATGTTCCACACAATGCAGAGATTAAATTTAAATTGTGTGTTTGCGGTAAAATTGGAAGTGGATTTTCGATGTTGTGTGAAAATTTAATCAAAATTCAATGCAATTAGTAAAATCCAACATATAAATCCTCTGGTTGCATAGACACCAAATGTATGGATTTTTCTATCCAATAGAATTTCGGCCACAATTATAATTAACAGGGATACATGCACAAACTTAAAATTCAATCGATGAAAATCTCAAAAGGCATGGAGGCATCCTCAATTAAGCAAATTAGTTTGTTGACTATCCTCAATTCACAATTCAGCATATCGATATGGTAATTTAACTTTCTTATTAAATGACACAAAGGGATAACATAAGTACTTCCATACGACAGATGGGAACATTGTTTTCTCAAGAAGTCTGTCTGTGTCACATTGACGGAGAATGTTTGAATGAAATTTGCATAAATAAATAAAGCATAGACATTCCTATATGCATTGAGTATCAATCGATATTTTGATAATTTGGTAAATCAGCAAATAAACTTGATGCAGTCGCAAAGGTTAGATAAGGTCGATTGGAATAAATGTTTTTTTGAAAAACTAATTTTGTTATATTTTAAAATGACTTAATTAAATGTTGTCTAGAAAAAGCGTCAAGTAGGGAAATCAAATAGGAACGGCAAGTAGGTAAAACAAATAAGAAAGTAAAGGAGGGATGTCAAGTAGGGACATCAAGTAGAGGCGTCAAGTAGGGGCATCAAGTAGAGGTGTCAAGTAGGGGCATCAAGTAGGAACGTTAAGTAGGTTCATCAAGTAAGAACGTCAAGTAGAGCATCAATAGAATTTTCAAATTAAAATCGTCAAGTAGTAATTGCAAAAGAAATGTAAAGTAAGGATGACAAATAGGGATATCAAGTAAGAATTTCAAAGAAAGACGTTAAAGAGCAACATCAAGTATGAATATCAAGTAAGGACTCTAATAAAAAAAATCCGTATAAAAACAAAAAATAACGAAACTAGCAACAAAAATCCACGAATACGAAATATACATCAATACTGCCCATACAACCTCAGACCACCATATTTTTACAATCCTCCCAAGATCTCCAGCCGCATCGGAAGTTATAAATTACTGTAATCCAATAAACATGACAATAACTTAAGATTTTCTTTATTGTATAGCTATCAACAGTCACAGCATTAAGTTCCATACAAGCAATTCATTCGCATTAAGTCATTGTGACAATGATGAGATCAAATGTCATCAGATAATGTCAAATGAATTGAGCGGAAATTACCATCACTCAATAGACACAAGACACAAGAGTGAAGCGACGAAGACTTTCTTATTCTTTCCATTTCCTTAAACGTAAAAAGCATTTTAATGTCAATTTTCAATGTCAATTTATTTAATGATATTGCTGTCATCTGGAGTTCTTGTCGATTTGAGCAGTTCCTGTAAAGAAAATGATAAATGATGGGGTGTTGAGTATTTAGAAGCTTTTTATTTTGTTATCCTGGGGTTTTGTGATATTATTGCAGTTTGTTGCTTTTATAAATGGTCAAGTTGTAGAGACATCAAGTAAGGATGTCAAGTAGAGATGTCAAGTAAGGATATCAAGTCAGTATGTAAAGTAGGAATGTCAAGTAGGGATTTCAAGTAAGGATGCCAAGTAGGAATGTCAAGTAGGAATTTCAAGTAGAGATGTCAAGTAGGGACGTCAAGTAGGGATGTCAAGTAGGAACGTGAAGTAAGATTAAACACGCTAAAAAATAAATTTTTGACTTTGAATTATCAACCAGATAAAAAGCATTCGAACAAATTTTAAACACAATTTCAATCACTTTATTTCACGGAAAGAAGAAATTTGGATTTTCTTTGAAAAAGCACTTTAAAATTTTATAAGCTGCTTCACAGTAATCCTTGGTGCCACCACCATTGTCTTTACAGACGTTGACTGCACGTTTTGTGTCCTCCCTCAGCTCATCAGGCATCATTGTGTCAATATTCTTTAATACTGAATCGACATTCATTTTTCCTTTTTTCACCTGTTGATGGATGTGAAGAGACAAAATGATGATATTTTGGGGAACAAGTGGATGTGATGTGGATATGACAAAGAAAATTGAGACTAGATTTTAAAATATGCGTTTGGTGGTTAGGCCAGGTAAGGTGAGACAAGTCTTTTTTATACATACCATATTCATCATCTCCAGCACACAACTTATGTAACACTTTAGTTCCTTTTCCTCGCCCAATTTTCCATCTCTCATGGTTTGCAAAGCTTCTTGACTTACTTTCGATTTTTGGACACAAACTAAACGAACAGGTTCAGTTGCCTGTTGCATCTGCTCTATTGTAATTTTTGCACAGTTGAGATTGTGAACAGTGATGATGAAAGTTACAATAAATAATGTTCTTTTCATGCTTGCTACTTCCTTTGAAAGTAATTAATGAGAAATGAGACTTTGTTCTTGACTTTTTCACTTTTATATGCAGTAAAATTTTAGTTTTGGCAACTCATAATGTTTAATAGATAACTATTAATTTTTAATAAAGTAATTAATATGATTAAGTGACTTGATGACTTGCTGAAATGATAGTTCCGCATTTAAAAATATCTGTAATGATTATTGCATGACAAAAATGTAACAAACACGTGATGTAATTCGGAAACTATATTCAATCACATATGAGAGTGACTCTACTGATCTTGTTGCCGCTGTCGGACAAGAATGCTCCGAACTTTCGGATTTTCAATTTGTCTCTTATATTTGGACATGTGCTTGATACTTTTCCAAACATTCCTTCTATTAGTATTCAAATTGTGAAGACAGTCATGATAGAAAATCTCAGCAAATAACACAATAGCTGATAAGCCTGAACCAATAATCAACAATCCAAAAATTGATACAAGATCCTGTAACTCCAAAAAACTTCTTTCATCTATTTTCTGTTTTCCTTCATACTGTGAGTAGTCTTGTGAAGCCATGACCTTCCACATTTGAGGCAAACCAGCTTGAAATGATAAATTCATAAAGTATTGTAATCTCTCCAAAAATGGATTAAAATAGCTTGCTTCCAATTGAATGAACTGCCATGACAGTTCCTCAGATAATAAGTAATAATAGTCTGAGACAGCCCGACCGTTAGGAAGTTTATGCTTCAATGTAATTTCAGCAACATCGCAGGTCCTAATGAATACATAATGCTGGTCAATCACCAACTTACCATCATCTTCTCCTATCACCAAGCTCAATGTGTTAAGTCGCGGTGCCATTGCTTGAACCAAACTTGAGTTCCTCAGCGTGTATTTAAACAATGGATTAGCATTTATTTCATAATTAGAATTTAAAAGATCATCAACAGTTTGAAGTCGATGACTATAACTTGGTTTAATCATTAAGGATGGTAAAGCACCTTCGTATAAATTGCTCAGCAAGAAAGTCGTCAAGCAAATGATATTGAGAAGAAGCACAAGAACTGTACGATTTCTTAGAGAAAAATCAGCACCTTGCCGGATAAATATTGTGAAAATACCAAAAGCAACTTTCCAATGAGAATCAACAGCACCTCGGCTTTGGAACATTCTCCAAACAGCAACAGAACTTAAAACTGAAAGTGCTATAAAAATCCAAGTGAAGCTATCGAATGGCTCAATAAAGATGACATGGAAAAATGATGCTTTTAGTGGAACTGGAACTAAGGCACAATAGCTTTTCTTCTCATAAGTAAGAAGCTTTGGTTCTGATATTTTAATTCCTACACCAGAGTTGATTGTTAAATGCATGGATCGAGTCAGCCAATTAACAATTAAATGTGTGGAATTAGGCAAAAAAATCAAGTCAACTCTTGCATTTTGTGCAATTCCGACAGCTTCTAAGAAATACAGCATTGGACTGTAAAGAACGCCATCTTTAATGTCAACAACTGGCGGCTGATAAAAATATGGCACTTTAAAATGCATCCCATTTAAATTCTTTACCTTGTCGGGAAACACCAATGATGAATCTTCTGGATTCGTCAGTATTTTCAATCCATTTAAAAAGGGTTCGAATGTTTCATACAAAATATCGTCTGTTTTATGAACCAAAACTACATTCAAGAAACCTAATGCTGAGAAAACATTTAAAGCTTGAATTCTCTGAATTAGTGTTGATGAGATTGGTGGGATGCAGAGTAATTTTGACATGTAATCAAATACAGTTGAGGATTTATGTTTGCTGATTAGTTGTTGTATGAATGCCTGTAAGATTTATCAAAAATATAACATTCAGTAGATACTCTCGATCAACAGAAGGATCAAGGGAGAACAGCTAGTGATAATATTAAAAATTCAATCAAAAGACAGTTGGGGCTCATTAGAAGCTACCCAAGTCACCTTACCCTGAATTCAAGCATTTTTCATTAATATCCCACATTAAATTACATCAAACTTCAATTCTACCATAAAACTAGTCAGAAGAGTGGTTTTGAACATCTGTAAGATCTCTGTGGACCCTCTACTATGCCTAAGATAACGACCCAGTTCATCGAAATTCTAAAATGAGTGAGGCGTTACATTTCTTATTTGGACCCCCCCCCCCCCCCAAAATCTGCAATTTCCCCAGAGTTCCAATCTGTCACATGCAATAATCTGTCACTTACCTGTTAACAGAAATTACACATTAATTTTTTTTTGCCTATCACAGGAACAAATCTCAAGGCAGATTTGACAGATCTGTGCCTGTTAACAGACAATATCTGTGATAGATCTGTCACCTGTGCCAGTGCCAAGCGTCCTGTATCACAACTCTGAATTTACATACCTGATCAATCCTATCAAAAGTCAAAACTACAACTGCTGCTTTTCTCAAACTCTTTTCCCCATGAAAATGTTTCATATCCGTAACAACGACAACGTTTTCATCATTAATGCACTGAACTATGTCGTTGACTATTGATGACCAAGTTGTATCCCCTAAATTTGAAATCAAGATATCTTGAGTTGCAGAACTTGACCTTGTAATAGAACTTATGATTTTACAAACACTTTTTGACAGATTTTGATCATCAATGACTGATGATTTGCTTAAATGAATTGGCAAAAGAATCAAAAGGACCAAGAATCTCAAAAGTTTCATGTTTTGAGTCAAATGAAGAAAGCAAAATATATTTTTGAAGCTCAATAGTCTGAAATGTTGATGCAACTTAGTTTTCAATCCAAATGTAAAGTCATTTAAAATCTAATAAAAATAAATTGATTTTTAAATCAAGCAATATTCACAAATGATGTGAAATGACACTCAAATAGCTCGAAACGAGTCGCTCTCACAATATTGGACATTACAAGTGAATGAACCATGTTTTTAAAAAAATTAAAATGAACACTGATTTATTTCCTCGATTTTATAGTCTATTATTAGGTGCCATAGCAATAACTATCCAATCACACATTTCAAGTCACAACTTTATAATAATTTAAATTCTGAACAGTAACTAAAGTCAGTGGCTTGCTTCTTCCCCTTCATCCTCACCCAGTCATGTCGCGCATACACAAGTTTCATCATAAATTTGACGATGTGGAAATTTATTGCAAATGAATGTCTATGCTCCGACAAATACTTATGTCTATTACTCATCCAATAAGAGTATGTCTGCATGTGATGTATTTATGGCTTGTGAAGATGACAATAACTTTTCTTCTTACGTTTGTAGATAATGGTTGACTCCGACTCACAATGTCGGTCTTATGCTTAATTAGGGAAGCTTCGAGACAACAGTACTGCATGGTTGAACTTCATGACTGCTATGTGAAGCCTTAAGAATGACATGCTGAACCAAATGACTGCCATGTGACATCTCCATCGATCATGTGCTACTCGGAGTTGTTGTTCTTATTAGAAACATTTTTGGGCTGCTTTCTTCTTCATCTTTTCTTCTCATTGCTTGCTTGTCTCAAGTTGAAAGTTTTAGTGCTACAATGTGTCATGTGCATGTGACAAATTTATTAGCAATTGAGGTTATAAACCTCAAACTTTAATGTTGCTGCTGTTGTTGTTGTTGCAATTCTTCTGCTTATTTATGGTTGAATTTAAATTAGAGAATTTTCTAAAGAAATTAAGGAACGAAAAGTTTTGCGTCTGAAGAAATAAGAAAAATAAAAGAAATGCAAATTTAATCAACATTTTTAAGTTTGGGATTTTTTTTTTGGGAGAATTAATTTGAGAATATTTTTTTTTGCTAGTTGAAGATGGAAGTGGATTTGAATTTATAAAGTTTTTGCTGTTTAAGTAATTAGCGATAAGCTTTTGAGAGGGACAGTCTGGATTTAAATGAGATTTGAGGCATCAGAAACTGTAAAGGAGCAACTTTGACTCATGTTCCTGCAAAAACATCTCAATTTTCAGCTCCTCCATTGTTAATGTCTTGAAAAAGTAAAATGTCATCAATTATAACATTTCAAAAGTTTTCTAAAAAGCTAACAAGCATCATTTAAAATCAGAAATTTTGAAAGGAAATTCAATTTAAAAACTTTTATTCTTAAAACATTTTTTCTTCTGATTGAAAACTTTTATGCAATATTGTATTGAAAATGTTACATTTTAATGTTATAGCAACTGAAGTTGAAAGCTCAGAAATTGTCAAGACTTTTTAGCGCATTTTTGAAAATTGTTTCTAAAAGGTAGCTTAATATCTCACTATGTCTGTTCGTTCGGGCGGAGAAAAACTTTTTAACTAGACATCGTAGAGAGTTCTAGTTTGTTTTATTAGCTCAGGTCCATTGTTTTATTTTCGGGGAACGCATTTAAAAGTCTTGAAACGGTCTTTTTGTCCTATAATTAATGATTTTTATATTTCATATGAAAAAACACGTGATGAGAAATTTTTGAATCTCAAAAAACCGTTGAATTACAATGCCTTTTTAAATGAAATTTTTTTGCAACAGACTGTTATTTATACTATAATTAATGATTTTACTGTAACTGTGGGAAGATACTTTCAAATGCATACGACCGTTACAAAATTTGAACTTCAGAAAACCATTAAATGATAAACAATTTATATATGAAAATTAAAGATATTAAATTGTTAATTGCACTAAAATTAATGATCTGTAAATGAACAAAATAAATAGATAATCGAATCCTGATTGCTAACACAAAAATGCGCTTAAGTCCCTCGATCAATAACACGAGGACTTCTGTAATTTTTTCTTTCTTTGATTCTATTGTAAGTTTTCTTTTGTAAGCTGAAATAAATTCGAAAAGACCTTCGATAAAAAATCTAAAAGAATTCAATGAGACAGATTGAAACGATTCAGGGATGCACATTTCATAAAAGCTCAAGGAGAGAGTCAGAAACCATTCAGGCATGAAGTTTTCAAATAACAAAAACAAAAGGAGATGAGGAGTGTCAAATTTTTGTCTTTTGTCAAAAAAATGCTAATATTTTTCGTTCTATAAAATTATTTTTAACCATAAACTTTTTTCCTGCGTCCTTGTTTGAGCTGTTTGCTCTGTTGCCAGTATTTATCAATGTTAAGAGTTTAACATCGGTCCTAGACAGGTGAAATGACATCAGTGGCCTAAGTGGTAGAGCGTTTGTCTTACGTGTCAAAGGTTCTGGGTTCAATCCCAAGCCAAGTCAAGTTATAGAAGCTCTTTTTTTGTTTTACCGTTCTAGTTACGAAGTTCGGTTCGTGTGTTGGATGTAGTTTTGAGGTCTTCGGCACATAAAGTGTCTCATTTGCTAGGTATACTTGGATATACTAGCATCAGGATGATATCATTTTATCATGTTGCACACACGAATTGTGACTAGGTAAATTGCAGGGTACATCAGGTCTTTAGACATACTCGTGTCTTTGCAATGTGCAGAGCTTGCAAGTGGTTCGGAGCCCACTATAAACTGTAGGTCTAAAGTTTGTGGTACAATAAATTCTGTTCTAATTTGAATCGCAGTGTCTGTAGCTCAAAAAGCTGTGCCCTTTTTATGCTTTACCATTTTACTGATCCTAAACTTGTATTTTGCAATAATAGCCTAGGTGTGACAGTAGGTTATCATTTTGCGCACTCTGTCCAAGATATCCACAATAAGCATAACCTCACCCTCTCATATTATTATGCTTTTTAAATAAAGTGTGTACAACATCCAGCAAGATTTATATTAAAGTTGTGAAAAATAAAATTTACGTCTTCAATAAGACGGCGTGACATAAAAATTGTGTTTATCCATTTTCCTCATATTTTTTTCCATCACCACAGGAGAAAGTTGAAGTCGACAAATGTAAAAGATTGAAACATTTTCCATTCTCCATGCCTTAAAAGTCTCATAACTGCTGCTGCAATCCTTTTTTTTCCATAAAAAGAACTCTCTGGAGCAAAAAAAAGTCATTTTCCACACATATCTTATAGTTTTGTAGATGGATAATGTTGACATGAAGCAGATTGCTTTCTATTCTTACACACACACATAATGCACAATGGTAACAACAAACGATTGCAGTGTGTTTCCGATGAAATTGAAAACGAAGACATATTTTCTTTTATAACTTTTTTTTCATATTTTTTGTTATTATTATTGTGATTGCTTGATGTGTGCAATTCTCAAAAGTTAGACATGTACTTTGCAATGGTTCTATTTCTTTTTTCATCATCTTTAGCTTGAAATCTTTTTATTTTTTGTGGGAGGAATATAGGAATTCATTTAAAAAAATGAGAAAAGAGTATTTGAAATAAAAAAACAATAAGAAATTCTTGAAACTGTCCTTTACATTTTAGTCAATCCAAAAACTTGAATCAATCTTTTTTGTGAAATAGTTTTGAGGACTTTAAAGTCAAGCATTTTATTAGAAATTTTTTATTTTGCATCAATTGTCTTAACAACTGCTGAACCTCCTGATCGTAGAAACTTTATATATTATTAAAGCACCAAGATGACTTCTACTGCATTTTCTATAAGCATTTATTTTTTAAAGTTTTTAAAAATATAAAAAACATTATACCGTCTACTATACAGAACTGAAATTCAACCCCCCCCCCCCCTCTTCCCTCCAATTAAAAAATATTCTAGCTTTGTCACTGCCCTATGTGCACCGTACTGCATGCCAGCCAGCCAGCCAATAAAGTAAGTAATTTGATAAGCTGCTGAATACAGGTTTCTATTTAAACAATCATCATTCGAGATTCTACCAAAATTTTCTACCCAAAAATACCCATACAACATTTGGGCGTAGCCAGGAATTTTATGAGGGTGGGGTGTAAATTAAAATTTTATATGGAAGCTTCAGGTAAAGGAAAAGAAGTTTTAAGATTTTAAGATTTTGTTCATAAAACCCTGGCAAGATGAAGAAATTTCTCTTAACGTAGAGAAGTTTGTCACTCAACCCCCCCCCCCCCCCTCCTTCCCAAATACGCACCTGCCATACAATAGTAAGAACGGATTGCTGCTAAAAGAGCCGTTCACTTATGACGTCCAATGAGGGGGGCAGCAAGAAAAGAACAATAGAATTTTTTTGATAAATGACCGTTAATTTCGGACGTCATTTGCGAATAACCCCCAAATGACTCCTTTTTTCTAAAAAGCTCTTTTAAAAAATAACTTTCTGTCTGTTCCATATCAGTTCAAGTTCTTTAATTTCAGCAATGAAATACTTATGGGTCGTTCACTTATTACGTATCGCAAAATAATGACTTTTTAAACCTCTAAATTGGAACAAAATTTGTATGAAAAAAATTTCTTTTGTTTGAGCCGTAATTAAATCTTAGAACCCCACTTCCTCGAGAAGTGTTACGGAATAAGTGAACCAACCCTTAAAGAACGAGGAAAGAAAATGACTTTCTAGTTTTTTTTGTCTTGCTCACTTTTCGTAGCATTTTTCATGTCAACAGTTTTTTCCTTTTCAGTTCTCTTAAATTGCAATATCTTGAAAGACATAAGAAAAGCAACGAATTACGCTTTTTCACAATAATCATGTATGGGATTCAGAAAAAGAATGAAAATGCTTTACTTACCCGAGTGGACAAAGTACTAGTTAAAAGCTTGCCATTGACTTGCCTTTTCACGGCGAGTAAGTATCCATTGACGTGCCTTTGCAACTAGACTTAGGGACGACTAATGACATATTTTGCGCTTTCCATTTAACTGGACATAGGAATTGCAAATATGTCTAGTTAATGTCCAGTTACAAAAAAATCGAAATAAAATAAATAACACGTGTCTTTTTTTCCATATTTTTTTCTTTTGTAAAATTTTATTATTGTATTAGTGTAATTAATTAATTAAAGTACACTATCACTTATGAAAAATCTCTAGTAAAAATTGATTCTCGAACACTTGCGCGTGAAACAATTATATTTACTTAAAAGTTTCATACAAATTTTGGTGGACCTTATATAAGTGATTTCTGTAAGCGCTTGTGAAGTATATGGTCAAAAAAGTAAGGAAAATTATTTTTGAGTTTCGAACACTTGATTGATTAGCATGAATGTCCAGTTAAAGTCTAGTTAACGTATAGTTCTCTATATCGTATATATTTCGACAAGTTAAAAGACTGTTAAATGATTGTCCAATAATGGACTTTAACTGGCTGTGTCCACCCGGGTTATGCAATAGTAAGAAGCTTTGGAAGTAACCTAAATGTTTTGGTTTTTAATGTTCAGAGGAAGTAGTGTTAGTCGATTGGGTTTGAGCACAGTCAATATGACTTTCATAAACTGATACAGTCTTAAAGAGTGAGTCTTCAAGGTTTAGAACTGATGAAACTTGAAAAATCTTGATGAACAGCGACTTAAAGGTAGTTAATATGTTCCAACCCCTTATTTGAGTCAACCTTTGCTCAAGCTACATGATAAAATACCTAAAATTTGTTAACATTTCCCTATAATTTTCTAGCAGAACCTTTGAACCTAGCCAACCCTCCCTAGTCGTTTCAAGTCCTATAATCACACAATTTTGAGTCACCAGCATTTAAAAGATCCCAAAAACAGAATCCAAATCATAAAACCAAAAAACTTAAAATTTCCCATAAAACTAAAGTCATTTTAAAACAGCAATAACTGTAAATTAGACATTCATATCGGACACAATAATCCTGAAATAGAAATAATTTAATTGAAGTAAGTGTTTGAGTATCCTGAAGCATTTTACTGCCATTAAATTTATTTTTCTCCATTTCACATATAGTGCAGACAAAACAGAATAAAAGTTTCTTTTTCAAGCTATAAAAGGCAAGTGTCATAGCAAATAAATTTAATTGCATATCAACTAACAACAAAATGACTTTTTCCACACAATTTTATTTTCATTCTCAATGCTCCATTCAAGAAATGAATGACACACAATAAAGCTGATAAAAGTTTCACTGTTAAATGCTGTGACGATTATAATCTACTCTGATTTCGAGCTGAGTTTCGTCCATTTCTCACTAATGTTCCAAAGCCATTTAGCCATGTCATCGTCTAAGCCCTGCTCGTATACTTTCTCGAAACCACATTCACTAGAAATTGTATAAATGAGGAAAGAATAATGATCAATTAAGGACACTCGAGTAAATCGAGAAAAAAAAATATAGCAATGACAGCATGCAATAAATCAACATAATAACGACATAAAGCGACACTCACGAAAAATATTGTCCGCTCACATTCTCAAGATCAGGATCAAGAGCTGAAAAGAGAAAGAGATATTTAATGAGGACATAATACAATAGAAGGTGAGAATTGTACCTGCATAAATTGTCGTTTGAGCGCCTTGCTTTGGTGTCTTATTAAAGATATACATTGCAGGCTTAACGAAATATTTCGAGAAGAAAAATGATATTTCACCAGTATGTCGTGAGAGTTCGGTATTTATGACGCCTGGATGAAGAGCATTTGCCGTTACTTTTGTATCCTTAAGCCTCCTTGCAAGCTCTCGCGTGAAGAGAATATTTGCCAATTTACTATTCGCATAGCAATAAACATTTGAATATGACTTTTCGCTGTTCAGATCATCCGTTTTTATTTTACCCCAACGATGTGCCATGCTTGACACGTTTACAATACGACTTGGCTGTGATGTCTGATGGGATAGAGGAAAATAAATGGATTTCTTTTTTCTTGTACAATTTTCAAGCTTTTTTATTAAAGTGATGAAAATTCTTAATTTTAAGGGGGCTCGTCTAGTGAGAGGCAGGCACGTAGCCTGGGACGGTGTGGGGTTTGGGGGACAAATCTTGTTACGTTAAAAGAAATTTCTTCATTTTGCTAGGGTTTTTATGACAAAATCCAAAAATTATGCCCCTTCTATATTTTCCATATAAAATGCTTTTTGCCCCCCCCCCCCCCCCCCTTTTCAAATTGTTATGCTGTTTGAGGCTCAGTTCCACCTTGCCATGCCCCCAAATTCCATTAGCAATCCCTACCCCACATAAAAAATCGTATTTTATTCTCACCCACCTTCAGCATCGGCAGCAGCAAGTTTGTCAACAGAAAATGCCCCATATGATTAACACCCATTTGCATTTCAAGTCCATCTTCTGTTCGACATAATGGTATCGCCTAGAAGTTATGCAAAGTTTGTAAATTATTCGATGGAAGTGCTTTGTGTTTTCAAACAAATTGTTACCATGACACCGGCGTTGTTGATAAGAATATCAAGTTGTTTCTCTTCTTTTTGAAAGCTATGGATGAAAAGTGGTTTTAGTTGATTGATTTGAGGTTTGAAAATGAGTTTTGGGTGATAAAGAGGCGTAGTAAGGCATTGGGCTTAAATTTCTTTAGCTTTTAAGTCATAGGATACATAAAACTAGATGGATGACGTGACAGCCCCAATTAAACACTCTATTAAGCCATTATGCTGTATATGCCTTTAAGCCAACATCCCGAAAAACACAAGTCGGTTATTCGAATAGAAATCCGGCTTTAGGATTTGATTTGAGTTCAGCACCATGCTAGAGAAAGTACAGCTTGATTCTGGATTTCTATTCGATTAACCCACTTGTGCTATTCTGGCGTATGTACTAATAAAAGGATATGAGAACGGCACCAAGACATCATCTCGTTAATCTGAACTTTTTGCGTACGCCACTGATATTGAATAAACCCAATAAAATGCTACATCCATATTTTTAAATGTTCTACATAATGTGCCTTAGTCGAACATAAAATTATTATGCAAATGAAAAGGTTGAATGAATTCTAATTATCTCCTTAATTACCAAAAGAAAGCCTCACCTCTTAGCAAATTCCCGAATCGAAGTAAATGAAGCGAGATCTAAAATCCTTACAAATACATTAGAGCTGCCGGATTTTTGAATTATTTCCTTACAAGCCTCTTCGCCTCGTTCCATTGATCGACACGCGATGTACACCTTAGCCCCCCTTAAAGTATTATAATTAGATTAATTTTTTTTTCTTCTCTCTTTTGCGCAATCAGCACTTTGTTATCTTTTTTTAACATAATTCTTTTCTCTTTCGTACCGTGCTGCTAACTCGATGGCAGTTTCCTTTCCTATACCCGAATTTCCGCCTGTTATCACAACAACATTTCCATCGCAACGTGTATATTTTTTGTAGCTCTTTCCACGAATGAAAATTCTGCAATCAAAGCAAATTACTTTTTTATTTCTTTTCTGTTTCTTATTGATAAAAAAATAAATAAATAGAAATGTCCTTTATTTTTAAGGAGTTATTAGGAGAGAGTTTTGTAGGCTTGAGTTGGTTGCTGCTGTGGTTTGTGGGTTGGGGTGAGATTTTGTGTTATTTTATTGAATTTTTATGAAAAATTTTAAGTTCATGGATTCTTAATGATGAGTTGGACCCCGTCTCTATTAGGTTGCACCCCTGGAACCGACCAATTATGGGATCAGAATTTATATATCCTTAGAAACTGGCTCCTGACTTCTCTCTTTAAATGACAACATAAATGAATGCCAACCAATTTTATTCCAAACCTAATCCCACACACAGCAGCCTCTTCATTTCACTTCCACACAAAAAAATCACTGTCTAAGCCAATTATTTCACAAACAGAATTCACTGCCGATGTATCTTTTGTATCAGCACACAAACTTCTAATTCTTCTGCCTTAAAATTTATGTCACGTTTCTTTGTGCTGGTTTTCTACCCACCTTAATACAACAAAAGCCAATAATGATGCTGCTGTAATACAATAGATTTTGAAATCTTCGTATTTCAGTGACCACATTTTAGTCTTGTCACTTTTTTTCAATTGATACTTCCTTTATCACTTTATCAGGTACTTAAACTTAATCACTAAGCGTTTATTGATTTTTTCTTTTGGAGTTTATGATGGGATTTTGAAACAATTGAGTGCGAAATACGACAAGGAACTAGAATAAAAATTGTTCAATATGTTTTCAAGAGAAAATTCAATAATTTTTCACACAATAGCTTTATTTAATTAAGCATAATGCTCTTATGTCATAATATTATGCTTATTATTATTAAAAATCTACTAAAATAGTTATCATTTGAATGAAACGTGTTTGAAGTCTCTGAGTAAAGTGGCATAAATACAGTAAGATGCCGGATTAGATGAAATGTTGCCCGATCGGCACACATTGAAATATTTGTCCGGGTTGATACGATAATTAAAACCAATGGACAGCTGCTTGAAAGCCATTTCCAACTCGGCTCCAGATTTCAAAGACTCATCAAACATTTTAATGAATTTCAATGTGTGCCGATCGGGCTGGTGCCACATTTTTTGCCATTTTTTCGTCATATGACTTCCAGGATTAAAGAAACTGTTAAGAGGAGAAAATAATTTAAGTTGGATTTCTGCCAAGCTTCTTAACTACCCACAATAGCACAGTGGTAAGAGAATGAGACCGGAAATCATAAGGACGCAGGTTCGAACCTCACTAGAGAAAAGTTGTTGAGAAGTTTCCTTTTTTTCTGCTGAATATTCAATCCGTTCACTTATGACGTCCGATATTAACAGTCATTTTTCAAAAAAGAACAATCCAGGAATTTCTATTGTTCTTTTCTTGCTGACCCCCCCCCCCCCCCCTCCCCCTTGGACGTCATAAGTGAACGGCGCCATACCAAGTTTCAATAAAACAACTTAACTTTTTTTAAGTCTTAAAATTCGAAAGTCGTCAGTTTTAGCCTCAAAAAGCACGTCATTACCGTTTAATAAATTTTCATAGCAATCCCATCCAAAAATAGCAACCGAAAACATATTATCATAAATAAATGTGCTAGTAAAGCTATTATTGCAATGTCTATCATTCCCCATTTGAAATGGCACATGGAAAACCTATAAATTTATGTAAAAAAATGTTCCCTCCTTCAATTGAACCATCAACCTTGTTTTCAAATACATGTAATGCATAGCAGTAAAGAACAACTTGCCCCAGTTCAAATTACATACATTTGCTATGAGAATCAATAGCTGAGGGAAAAAAATTGTGTACACATCAATAAATCACTTTTACTGCTTGATTTCGTCAGGTGAAAAAAAAAGCATTTATGTGCAAAACGATTTGAATTGTTTTTCACTCTTACCGCATTTACGAAAGTTCCTGTTGTTTGTTAGATGCGGAATCAATTGAATAGAATATATGGAAAAAGTTTGATTTGTTTGGTATGTTTCTTGTATGTTGTGTTCTTTTCTGACGGTTACACGATGGTTATCGAGATGAAATGAATGAATGGAATATGAAAAATTGTTGTCGTATTAAATTGAATTGTTTAATAAAGGAAGAGCTTATTTTTAAGGTAAATACCAGTAAATACTATTGTTTGAAGTTTAGAAATCATGAGAATGAACTTGAAGCGCAGCTCATTGCTTTTTCTTTGTAAACAACTTAGAGTAGATATGTGGAGCTGTAAGTCTACTTATAGTCGTAGAGTTCAGTAAAACTAGGCGTATTAGCTGCATTAGTTTTCTTCCTCAAAATCAAAAGATAATTAGAATTGCCAGCGTTTTTGAAGCACAAATTTCTGTCAACTCAAAATGACCATTACATAGGGTGACCATCTGCGTAGTTTTACAACGGACAGTCCTGTATTTCAAAACCCTGTCCTGTATAAATTTGAAAACTTTGTTCCTGGTCCTGTATTTTTTTCACGAAAATTTCCGTTAATTTTCGAATTTTACTCTATGTCCTGTATTTTTCGAAAAATTTCACCAAAAGTCCTGTATTTTCATGAAAATTACAGGCCAAAATCGAGCTTCTGATTCAAGTATGGCACACGAATTGTGACTAGGTACATTGCAGGGTACATCAGGTCTTATGACGTACTCGTGTCTTTGCAATGTGCAGTGCTTATAAGTGGTTCGGATCCCACTATAAACTGTAGGTCTAAAGGCTGTGGTACAATAGATTTTGTTCTAATTTGAATCGCAGTACCTCCAGCTGAAAGGCTGGGCCCTTCACACATTATTATTAAGTATGGTCCATGTGATACAAGCTGCCAGTAATTCTCTAAACCAGTGATGGACAATGTTTTTTGTGCCATGTCCAATTGGTCATATACAATGACCAAAACCGAACACAGCATACGGTTCGTGGGATATCCCAAGCTTTTTCACTATACACCAGTGTGCCACGGCACATAGATTGACCATCACTGCTCTAAACCAAGATTAACAAAAAACTATAGACAATAGCTTGCCTTAAGAAGTTTATTCTCTTCTGCACATTACAAATTTAATTTCCCTCAATCAATTTCTGCGTCACTTCCTTAAATGATAAACATTTCCTGCGCCTCACAAAACAAGAAAATGTCATACAATACATCTGAAACATATCTCGTTTACCTTCTATTGCCTCAGAAAAAAGGAAGAAACTTACAATAAAATCACATTATGCTTCATCGAATTTTGCAATTTCCTCTATTTTCTTTTGACAATTTGTTGCATGATTTTGAATAAAATGTTTTATTTTGTCTGATATTTTACAAAAGACGTATGCAGAGATGCAGAAATTTACGATACCATTGATGGATAAAAATAGATTGATGAATTGAATACTCAAAGATATCAATTCTTTGGAATAAAAAAAAGGGTTATTTAAAAATGATGTCTCACTACAATAATGGGGGGGGGGGGTTGACATTTCCACCCCAAATATTATTTTGTATTGGGATAAAACTCATTATTTGCTTGACGTCATTTGTGATCAACCCCTTTTAAAGTTCTTGTAACTCATTTTTTGATTGACGGCATTTATGAACAACCCCTTTCAAAGTTCTTTTAAAATCATTTTAAATCTTCTCATTTCCAGTATATCCTCAAGGCATTTATTAATAGAAATACCAATGACTTCTGCATCATATTCATTGACATGAGTCAGAAAATTTTACAGAAATTCAACAAAAATAATTCAAATTTCCAGAAGTTCTCCTTACAATGTAAAAAAATATACAGCACAATTTATCGATTTAAATAATTTCATTGAGCCAAAAATTTATTCCTATTCATCCTCATCTGAATAGGATATAACCCTGAATAGGATTAATTAACAAGCATGATGATGATGATTAAAAAGCATGAAAATACTAATGACTCGAATCGAGATTGTGTCCTTTTGTAACTGCTAGTTTATAGTTTGGATATGTGTGAGATACTGTGAGGATTAAAATGAAGCACTCATGTCATTAAAGTAATCAATAACAAAAGAGGAGAGTCTTTAAAATTGACGGAAGTGTCATTAAAATTAGTGAAAAAATTGGGTTAGTTGTGTACTAGATTAATAAAAGTAGGTTTGTACTAGATTTATGAAAAGGAGTAGGTTAGTAGTAGATTTATAAAAAGTGGTAGGTTTTGTACTAGATTTATGAATAGGAGTAGGTTTGTACTAGATTTATGAAAACGAGTAAGTTTGTCCTAGATTTTTGAGAATGAACAGATTTGTACTAGATTTATAAAATGAAGCAGGTTTGTACTAGATTTATGAGAATGAGCAGATTTGTACTAGATTTATGAAAAAGGTTATGTTTTGCACTCGATCTACAAGAATGAGCAGATTTGTACTAGATTTGTAAAAGGAGTAAGTTTTGTACTAGATTTATGAAAAGGAGTAGATTTGTACTAGACTTGTGAATAGGAGTAGATTTGTACTAGATTTATAAAAAGAAGTAGATTTGTACTTGATTTATAAGAATGAGTAGGTTTGTACTAGATTTATGAAAATGAGTAAATTTGTAGGAGATTTATGAAAAGGAGCAAGTTTGTACTAGATTTGTTAAAAGAAGTAAGTTGGTACTAGATTTATGAGAATAGTCAGATTTGTACTAGATTTATAAAAAGGAGTAGGTTTTGTACTAGGTTTATGAAAAAGAGTAGATTTGTACTAGATTTATACAAAAAGTAGATTTTTACAAGATTTTTGAGAATGATCAGATTTGTACCAGATTTATGAAAACAGTAGGTTTTGTACTAGATTTAAGAAATGGAGCAAGTGTGCATTTGGTCTATAAAAGTAGGTGTATATTTAGGAACGAGCCCATGGTCTCATCACGAATCAATAAAAAAGACAAAATTATCTCAACATCTGAAAATTATTAAAATAATAATAAATTTTAATAGACAGTTTTTTTGGCAACATAATATTTTTCATAATAGATCAATAATTAATACACACATGTGCTTATATTTATGACTTTTTGAGTTAATGATTTGATGGAAAATAAATGAATAGTTGTCGAATATTATAATCGATTTGTGATTAATGATGGATTTATCGACTCTAATTTCATATAGAATTTTTTTATTGATTTCAATTATTCCTTAATGGACATGATGAGATTGAATGCCTTAATTAAGAAAAAGTTCTCATATTGCTTTTTACGATGTCATTACTAAGAACTTTTTCTTCTTTTTTATATGTGTAATATTGGTGTGCTTTAGCTATTAAGCTATGCTAGATGATATTGAATTTTTTTGAAGGCACTCAAGGTCTTTTTTGTAAAAAGTTTTATGATTGACCCTGAATCTTCTGAGTATTTTTTTGTATGATAATCGGACATTGAATGTTAGTCATGCATGAATTAGTTTTTCGTTCTTGTTTAACTTTTAGAAAAGTTTAATGGTCGTACGTTTGTGATGGTCTAGAATTAATTCAGTGGTAGACAACATGTGTGCTTAATCTCCCTATAACTGCTATATGTGTATACTAATGTGAAACTAGTCGGGTTCGATGGGAATCGAACCTACGACCTCAAAAGAGATCTCACTTCGGCTATCCGTCATCCACAAACAACAAGATTCACTGCGAGCCCAAGGCTCACGCCTATTTACTACAGATATGTTCTTCGAACCATATCCACACTAGGATGTATTGATATGAGGTGGAAGACGCTCAGTTGTGTTGCTGACAGCGTTCTTAGGTAATTCTAGTCTTTAATTGTATTGATTTTGAGCTCTGTTGATGAATATTGTTACCATTTTACTGTCTAAATTGTATCAAATGACATAGGTACCAAAACCGTCTCATGCCGTGCTTTATTTTAACAGCAAGAAAGAAATCAGCCATGGGCATCAGAAAAGTCCAAAATTTGGTTCAAATTCAGTACAGACCCTGAATCAGAACAAACCTAATCCTGGATTATGCACATTCTTAGCTCAAGATACTTTGCAGGTTTTAATTTAGAAGAACCAGCTTAAAAATACTCAAAAATCATGAAAAAGAGTTTCTTAAAAAATACACACAAAAACATCCATCAATCTCTTCCATATCTCAACAAAAAAACATTATAAGGGTAAAAAGGTCATCGAAAAAGAAAATTTGTCATCTACAAAAAATATCTTCAATAAAAATTGATTTTCATGCCCTTTTGATCATTGTTAGGCATGCCATTAATTTGTCATTACAATTGTTAATATCATCAGCATTGATTAATGATTGCGATAGAAAAAATCATTCAAGCTGAATGCGTCGTAATTATTGAATATTAAAGGAAAATTACAAATATGAATTGAGGACATAAAAGTTCAGCACATCGAGTTGGAATTAAATTTAAATAACAAAGAAATCCTTTAATTTAAATTAATTTGATTCCGACCTATAATTGGGTATGCTTGTGCCTTTATTCTCATTCAACGATTTTTTTGTTACACCAAACACAATTTAATGCCGATTCCGTTCCTCTTCCTCTGTTCATTCATAACAAAAATTTTATAGCAACTTTTAATGCGCCGAATCCTGGAAAGGACTTCCAGCATCCAAACTAGAATGTGATAAATATTTTTCATTATAAAGAAGAACGTCGGAGAAAAATTTCATTCAGTTTTCATCAAATCGACAATGTCTGTGGACCAGTTGTTGATGGATGTCCACAATCGCGACACTTTAAGAATTTTGACTTAGTTCCTTTGACGAATTGCTTTAAGATTATGAAATGGATAATAATTTTTTGTGAGGTGATTAACATTGGATTTAGTGGAATTGTTGAATTTTTAATGGAATTAAGTGAAAATTAAAGTTTGAGAAATTTTATAAATTTACCAAATGGATTAAAAAAGTTTTTGTGAACCAAAAAATAAAGTCAAGTGAATTGTGATTAAATAAATAAAAACAGCTGCGTTAAGAATAGAGACACAACATCCACCAAAGAAGCAGAATTAATGTAATTACCGTGTTTATATAAGAAAAGAAAAGAAAAAAAAATCATTATTTTAATCCCAATCAATAACAACAAACACGCATTCGAGAGATAAAAATGTCGTCTTAGAAAAATTCACATGTGAAAATTTTATCTATCTGAAATCCTTTAGGGAGAATGAAGAAGAATGAGAGAGAATATGAATGAATGTGTTAGATGGATATACTTAATCTTAAGCAACGTGCTTAGCCTGCAGAATTATTTTTTCATGCGAGAACTTTTTTTTTCCTCTGCGAAAAATTTTCATATTTTTCTTTTTTATTCTAAATTTGTTGGAAATGATACATGGTGATACATTTGAGTGTGGGAGGTTTGTGGAATTTTTGGGACTGATTAGGATTTATTTGTGGTTTTTTTCTGGATTTTAGAAAATCGTGAATAAAAAAGTCTAAAGTTGAGTGTCTTTATTTTGATTTTTTGTATGAACCCCCCCCCCCCTCCCACCTCCTTCCCTAGAGTTTTTGCAAGTTTTTCGGATTTTACTTTAAACTGTAAATCAAACATGAGATTCTGTCCAAATTGAATCATAGTTCCTTAAACGATGAGCGTTTTTCACAAATAATTTATTTGTGACACCCCCCCCCCCTCCCCTCTTAACCTTTTTTTCCTTTATATTAAGTGTTATTTAACAGACTTATGCAGGTCTGTTAAGCTTATTTCTATCTGCATCAGTGTTATCCAAACTGTGAAGCTGTAGGAATTTTTTGGAAATGACGCTAGCAACATGCTGTGTGTGACTTTGGTCATAGCTTACCTCTAAAATGTGCCATGGCTCAAAAAGTTTGGACAACACTGATCTACACTGTCAATCTTGCTTGTGTTTTTGCAGAGCTCGAAGTCGATAGGGTTCAAGTCGACTTCATTTTTTCTGAGTCGACTAGAGTCTTCTCGCTGAAATGTCTTGGATTTTTTGAAAAAACATTTCCAGTTTCAATGTAATTTTATAGCCTTTACTAGTTACTATAGTCATAAGCTACCAAATACCATCGACATCGACACACATACCGACTATAGCATATGAGCCGTGGGATAGGTGGGGTGGGGGGTTGAGCTTTCAAAAAAATGTTTAAGAATTCTATAAAAAAAAGTTTGAAAATTTGAAAATATCAAAAAAATTCAGTCCCCCGATCTTAAGCCTACCAAAAATCCTCGCAAGGATAAACCAGCAAACTTTTTCATCTCATGTGAAGATTATTATTAAACTTTTTTTTATTTTTCATTTTTTTGCATTCTGTGTGTAACATATCTCCTCTAACTCGTTGTCTGTGTGCTAAACCATAGAATAGATAAATATCTCAAATCTACATTCGGTGTATTTACCGAAAAAAGCTCATAATTTACCATGCAAACATAGCACAACGATGAAGATAAAATAAGAGCTCTCCATCCGCCTCTTGTTCATTTTTACTGTGAATGAAAAAAATATATTTTTTTGGGTACAATTTTTTTGTGTTTGCATTTTTTTGAATAAAATGGTTACAGAGATTCTTTTCAAAGAGGGATATGTGAGCTCAAAAGTGCTTTAAAATTAAATTTTTGTGTTTGATGAATGGAGTTCATTGTGATTTTATGTTTGCTTAGAGGCTCGTGGTTTTCAGAAAGAGAGCAGCATGAGGTGAACAAACAAAGGATATTTTGTGAATATTTTTGAGATTTAATTATCAGTAACTGGGTTGGTGTGTGTACTGTCCATATAATATTTAAATTAATATAAAATCTAGTTAATTACATGGAATGTAAGTTGATATTCTGTAAATGTTGCTAGTGATGAAATTGTTTGTTAATTAATTGTAGAGAAATTTGCAAAATTAGCTCATTGGCAACAATGTTTGAAATATGAAACGCTTGTGAACAACATTTAATACATTTAATGAGCTATTGTGTTTACTGGTTTCAATTTAATTCCTGGAAACTGAAGCATTTAAGTTAATTAATCTCAAACCTTTGATAGTAATAAATTCTGGAAATCATTGTTTTTTAAAACTTTAAAAAGAAGATTTATTACAGAAGTTGAGTTGATTGGTCCTGACCAATCCAAAAATATTCTGTGACTAAGGCAGCTACCCCAGATAGCTCTAGAAACCACCTTGATCGCGAAACCTAGTTCATGTAATATGCTTTATAAGAAGTAGGAAAATTCACCAAAACTTTTCCCCATATTTTTAAAAATAATTATAATTAATCACATGATTAACAAGTTTAGCGAAACTGCTATATTCTTTCATAATTGATGCTCTCAACAAAACTTTTACCTCATTTTATTGCATTTATTGACGACATACTGTCCGGAAATAATTCACATTTTACACTTTTGTATTTGTATGCATATGAATTAATATTATGTAGGATCAAACTTCTAATCTTCAAATCTAGGTTTCAAATAAACTAAGGCTCTCGTTTCGATCTTCTGTAGGCGTTACGTGATACTTTTCAGGTCCGTTCTATCAATATTCCATTCGTGGGTAATCTTGTAGCTCTCGTTCCTTTTTCTCCCGCTACACTTCAAGTTCCTGACCCGTTCCTTAATCCAACGTTGCCCAAATGCCCAATTATGGCTTGATCTCGTACATTAAGCAGTCGAAGTATCTAAACTTCCGAAAAAGAACAAATTTGGAAATGGCTAGATTCGAACCGACGACCTTCGAGTTACCATCCCAAATTTGAGCCAAGCGCCTTACCTATTCGACCAGCAAGGCACTTAACTGCTTTTTCAAAATGATTAGCATCTTCATCGTTTGATTAATAATAGCTGAAGCAAGAAGATGAAATTCATGATATGAGAAAAGTTTTTCGATTCTTTTTTTTTGTTTACGTATTTTCATTATCCTCGAGATTTTCATCAAGATAAATGAACTTCTATTTTCAAACTAGACGAAAGTTCTTCACCGCCTTCCGATAAACGAGGATTTGAGTCTATATACACAGCAAACAATTCTACGATTTAGTATGAAAAGTGCTACACTGAAAATAGTTTTAGCTCATAAAAATTCAATGAGTTTGTGTTATCAGAAAATTCACTTTAGACCCCTGAAACGCCTTTCTTGTGGAGGAAATAATGGAGGCAATCGAGGACAATAGAGAAGACGAAATGAGAATGGAATTGTGATCATGAAGAAATTTTCTGTCTTGGAACTTATAATAATAAGAGGATTTAATGAAGTTATTCCTATTGTTACTTGCCTTGAAATTATTGAAGTAAACTCTTGTGGATAAATTTGTTAGGAATTCATTTTAACTGAAGATTTACAGGGGCGTAGCCAGGAATTTAAAGAGAGAGGGACAAAAAAATATGTGTATGGAAAATTATTTTTTTTAAGGGGGGGGGGGGGGGGTATTTTTAGCTAATTTTTCATAAGAACCCTAATAAAATTAAAAAAATTCTGTTGACGAAGGGGGATTTGTCCCCCTAAACCTCCCTGGATATGCTCCTTAAGATTGATAAATTTAGCTTAGCAAAGAAAGTGGTTTGAACTCTTAGAAATAGGCAAACGGTAGACAGCGACAGTGCCAGCTTCAGACGTCAACTAAGCGAATACATGGATCGCAATTGAACTGTACGGCAAGCGAAGTATGTAAGTAGAAATAGCAAGGAAAAGGGGTTCGAAATATTTTGGCAGGTGTTATAATTTTTTTGTAAATTTATGTTTTCTAAACTCAATTAAACACAATAGACATCTTGAGTCGCTGGGACTCCAATTAGGCTAGGGCTCGTTTCAAAAATGATGGTTACGTTTCTGTTACTAGCTACGTGTTCTATGGGTCCTCGATTTGAGTAGATTCGATATAAAAAGGATTTTTCTGGAATAAAACACCTACTCAAGTCGTGGACCCCCAGTATTGTAAATATAGTTTTGAAAGGTTTGGGTTCTGCGACTTAGACAAGCTAGAGATTGGAATTTTAAATGTTTTAAATTCTTTGGGACTTGAGGATCAATAACCTTTAACGTCCGAAAAGAAAGAAATTGAAAAAATACTCTAATTTTTCAAAGATTTATAGAAAATCGAGTCCTGTCGATAATTTTCTAAAGCTCATAGAGCTCCTGAATTTTAGTTCCTTGATTTTTCAACCTCCAAACTAGAGCCTGGCTCATTCAGCAACTTTATTCATAATCCACAAATTCTTAATCTACTGGATCAAATGAAACGCTGAGATTTGCTACCCAAAAACCTTGAACTTATTCCATTTTAAATCCAATTATTTTTCATTTCCAAATCTGACAAAAGAACCGCAATGAAAATATTCCAGTCTAACTTACTCAACAGACAGAAAAGAGTTAGAAACGAACGCAATAATCTTCATTTATATCATTTTCATTTTCATTTATTCCATGTTATTTAACAGTAGCACAAAATGGAAAAAGGTTTTTTCTCCAGCACTGTAAAGTCATGCCTTATACTCTGACTTTATATAAAGAGATGAATGAAAACATACAAATGAAATAATATAAAAGATGAAGGAAGAGAGAAAGGGATTACAGGGGCATTTAATTAAACACATAAAATTACAGCACTATGGACTTACAAAACTCATCCTCATGCCTTTCATTTTACTCTGCCTTTTTTCTCTCATCTCCGTATTAATCTCATGAAGTTAAAACTTGTGAATGAGAAAAATTTTATAATGAAAATTGTAAAAATGTGTACGGTCAGTAGCTGAAGCTTATGAAGCATTTAATTTTATGATTCTTTTCGTCTTTAATTCGTCCGAAGCAGCAAATGAAGCAATAAGAAATAATGACGACAATATTTATACGGTTCATGATGATTAAGGTGATGGAAAAGAATCTGGACATTAAATGAAGTCAAATGTACTTTTTTTTCTAACTGTCCTTTTTTTGCATTGGAATGGGACATAAAAGAGGTGTGACTGGGGGATTGACATTTTGTCTTGTGAGAGTCAGAAAAAAGTGGAAGTTAAAATACTTGAGTTTGAGGAGTGGAAATGAAGTAAAGAAAGGTCATTT